CAGAACTCCCTGTCTGCAAACAACACAACCCTAAGGTGTTTGTCAAAGAAAAATCAGCAGCACTTGCTTAACAGCACACTGCCTAAGGGAGCAAAACCTGTTAGAGCTAAGGTAAGGATGACAAAAAGACTAAACACACACACACACACACACACACACACACACACAAAAAAAAAAAACCTTAAATGTAAAACCTAGAAATGAGATGTCCAAAGGAAGCTTTGAAAAACTCCAGTATATGCTTAGCTGTCTAGAAGGCCATGCACACATCAGGAAAATCCTGAGAAGGACCTAATCTCACACAGCTGGCTGATTCTAAAGCTTTACACAAGCAGGAAATAAAAGCTAAGACACATTTGTAAGCCGTCTGTGGAACACTAAAATCATGCCCAACATGCACACAGAGATCCTAGGCAAAGCTGAGAAACTTATTTGTTCTAGGCATTTAAAAAATTTCTATCCAATCAGACACTTCAGTGGCTGTACATGACAAAGAATACAGACTTTAGGAAAATAACCTATGAAAGTCGGTGAACAAATAGCAACAACATCAACAAGCAAAAACAAACCTTGGGGAAGGGAGGAATCTGAATTCCAGAATTGCCACATTATACTATTCAATATGTCTGCTTTCCAACAAAAAAATCCTAATATATAAAAACCCTGGTTGGGTCTCATCCACAACCACTGGGAGGCTTGACCAACTGAAATTCTGTCCTGCAATCAGCACTAGGTTACCGTGGCAACCCAGCACTGACTGCTATGGCTGCAGGCATGGTGACCTAGTACTGACTGATGAAGGGGCTGTGAATCGGCCTGGAGAGAGGCCTGTAAAGAGAAACAGGGTTTGAAACATAGCCTCTATGGCAGCTATTGTTCAGCACTTGCCTCTCTCTTTCTTTCCAGACCTGGTCAGCACCCGCACCTCCATTTCTCTCTAAGTCTCCACCAGGGCTGTTGATCAGCCCCACCTTTCTGATCAGGCCCTGTTGATAGGCCCAGAGACACTGACTGGCATACAAATTAACCAATCAGAACCAAATCTGGGTTAACTGTGAGGAGCCAATGGCTGCCTAGGAAGTGAAGCTTTTGATGCTGACTAGCAGAGAAACTGGCCAATCAGAACCAAATCTGGGTAAATTGTGAAGAGCCAATGGCTGAGTAGGAGGCAGAGCTTTTGATGCTGACTGGCATAGAAACCGGCCAATCAGAACCAGATTGGCCAGCAGAGGAGGGTAGTTCGGGGTGAGATCAGGCCAGAAGGGGAGGACAGTTAGGGGTGATCTGGTAAGGAGAGATAGTTGGGAGCAAGATCAGGCCAGCAGGGGAGGGCAGTTGGGGCTGAGATCAGACCAGCATGGGAGGGCAGTTGGGGGCAATTAGGCCAGCAGGGAAGCAATAAGGTGTTAATCAGGCAGGCAGCAGAGTGGTTAGGGGGTGATCAGGCTGGCAGGCAGAAGCACTTAGGGGCAATCAGGCAGGCATGCAGGTGAGTGGTTAGGAGCCAGCAGTCCTGGGTTGTAAGAGGGATGTCCAAGTGCCAGTTTAGGCCTGGGCCCCACAGAGATCAGACCTAAACCAACAATTGGACATTCCCTGAGGGGTCCCATATTGAAGAAAGTACAGGCTAGGCTGAGGGAAACCCCCTACTGCACAAATTTCATGCACCAGGCCTCCAGTCTATAAGAAGCACATAAAAATAGGAAATTATAGCCCCTACATAGAGGAAAAAAGGCAGTGAATAAAAATTTTATCTTTGAAGAAGCCAGACATTGGACTTAGTAGACAACATTTTAAATTAGCTATTAATAATATGTTCAAAGAACTAAAAATAAGCATGTCTAAAAATTAAAGGAAAGCCTGTCAACAATATCTCTTCAGAAAACAGCAAAAAGAAACAAGTTATTTAAAAAATTCAAATAGAAATTCTGAAGTTGAAAAGTATAATAAGTAAAATTTAAAAATTCACTAGAAGATCTCAGCAACAGATGTGGGCAAGCAAACTTGACTATAGGTCAACTAAGATTATCCAGTCTAAGAAACAAAAAAGAAAAAATTAAAAAGGGCTTCAGAAACCCATGGGAATACCATCTAATATACTAACATACACATAATGAGAGTCCCAGAAAGTAAAAGAGAGAAAAAGAAATAACAATAAAGTAATAACAAAGAAAATAATTTTCTACCAGCAATGATGGACATTTTAAAAATTGCTCTCTAATGCCTGGTAACTTAAGTACCATTACCTTTTTAAGATTACCGTGATAATAAATCAAATATATTAGTCTTGTTTCAAATTTAATTTTTTAAATTATATAAAACAATAAAGAATAATTGCCAAAACAACACCCCCAAAATGATGGGGGAAAATTAATCTGCACATGCAATAAGCTCAACAACCTCCAAATAGGTAAAACCCAAAGAGATTTGTTATCACACATACCATAGCCAAATTATCAAAAGCAAAAGCCAAACAGAGGATCTTGATATCACAAAGTAAAGTGATGCATCACATAGAGGAGGATCCTTAATAAAATTAATAATGACTCAACAAAAACTATGGAGGCCATAGTCAGTATTATGGCATATTCAAAGTACTAAAAGAAAAAAAAAACTGCCGAAACTGGTTTGGCTCAGTGGATAGAGCATCAGCTTGTGGACTAAAGGGTTCCAGGTTCTATTCCAGTCAAGGGCATGTACAATATGTTGGTTATGGGCGCATCCCCGGTGGGGGGTGTGCAGGAGGCAGCTGATCGATGTTTCTCTCTCATCGATGTTTCTAGCTTTCTATCCTCTCTCTTCCTCTCTGTAAAAAATTAATAAAATATATTTTTTTAAGAAAAAGGAAAAAAGAACTGTCAAACAAAAATTCCATATCCAATAAAATTGTCTTTCAAACAATAAAGGCAAAAACATGAAATTTCCAGGTAAACAAATCTTAGCTATTGTAAATTGTTCTGCTATGAACATAGGGGTGCATATATCCTTTCTGATTGGTGTTTCTGATTTCATGGGATATATTCCTAGAAGTGGGATTACTATGTCAAATGGGAGTTCCATTTTTAATTTTTTGAGGAAATGCCACACTGTTTTCCACAGTGGCTGCACCAGTCTGCATTCCTACCAGCACTTGTAATTTGTTGATTTGTTGATGATAGCCATTCATCAGACAGGTGTGAGATGGTATGTCATTGTCATTTTGATTTGTATCTCTCGGATATTAGTGACTTTGAACATGTTTTCATATGTCTCTTTGCCTTCTATATGCCAACATTTGAAAAGTATCTATTTAAGTTCTTTGCCCATTTAGGTTCTTTGCCCACTTTTTTTTTATTGGATTGTTCATCTTCCTTTTGTTAAGTTGTATAAATTCCCTATAAATTTTGGAGATTAAACCCTTATCAGATGTAACATTGGCAAATATGTTCTCCCATGCAGTGGGATCTCTTGTTGTTTTACTCTGTTTTTTAAAATATTTTCTTAGTGGTCTACTGAAGGATTACAATTAACAATTTAACTTAAAACAAACTTGTTCAGATTAATACTAACTTAAATTTATTCAATAGTATATAAAAACTTTGCTCTGTTCCCTTTCCACAGTGTGGTAATTCCACAAAACATTAAACATGGAGTTAACAATTCCACTCGTAGTTACATACTCAAAGGGAAAATGGCACAACTACTTTGTAGAACTGTTTGGCAGTATCTTATAAAGTTAAACAGGTATCTATCCTATGACACTTCAATTCAACCCCTACTTACTCAAGAAAAGTGAAAACTTATGACCACGTAATTGTATAGGAATGTTCACAGCACCTTATTCATAACAGTCTAAAAATGGAAACTATTTAAATGTCTAACAACTGGAGAACAGACAAACAAAATGTGGTATATTTATACAACAGAATAATACTTAGCAATAAAAACAAACTGATAGGTACAGCAACAAAGATGAACCTAAAAATCATTACCTTAATGGGAAGAAATTACACACACACACACACACACACACACACATATACCATGATATAGAATTCTATTTATATAGCTGAAGAATATGCAAAACTAATCTGTCATAGTAGGAAACAGAACAGTGGTTTCCAAGGCAGAATAGCTGGAAAGTGGCACAAAAGAACACTCGGTGATGAACATAATCTTGGTGGTTATGCAGTTTTATAACATTATCAAAACTAAACAAAATGAATGCTGTGCATTTTATTGTATGTAAATCTATCCTAATTAAAAAAGAAATAATCACTAATAAAAGCATAATATGCTAATTAGACCAGACAGCCGAACAATCTTCCAGATGTCCTTCTGGACAAAGCCATTGCAGCGGGGGCCAAGGCAGAGGTGGTTAAGAGTGATCAGGCAAGCAAGAGAGCAGTTAGGGCCATCAGACAGTCAGGCAGAGATGTTAGGGATGATCAAGGAAGGCAGGCAGAGTGGTTAGGGGCAATCAGGCAGGCAGGTGAGTGGTAAGGACCATCAGGCAGGCAGGCAAGTGGTTAGGGATGATCAGGCAGAGTGGTTAGAGGCAATCAGGCAGGCAGAGTGTTTAAGGGAATCAGGCAGGCAGGTAGGTGAGTGGTTAGGAGCCAGTGATCCCAGATTGTGAGAGGGATGTCTGACTAAACTGTCAGTTGGACATAGACATCCCCCAAGGGGTTCTGGATTGCGAGATGGTACAAGCTGGGCTGGGGAACTCCCTGCCCTGTGCATGAATTTCATGCACCAGGCCTCTAGCAGTATACAAAAAAAATAAAAGTTTTACTAACATATTCATGGATGAAGTGATACACGGTCTGGGACAGGTTTTAAATACTCCAGAACAAAATACTGGGAGTCAGGTAAAAGAAAACTAGCATATGCTGATAAATGCTAAACCTAAGTGATAGGTACACCAGGTTTACATTATTCTCTTTAGTTCTGTATATGTTTAAAAATTCACATAATGAAAAGTTAAAAATTATTAATTCATAAATAAATCACTTTCTTACTGTAGTTCTGTGGCACAAGTTCCGGGCTCTTAGGAGTTTTCAACTTGTAGGATACATCTCCAATACTAACCGTGTCACCTAAAAAGAGTAAAGAAACACAAGCATTACAAGAGACAAGTGAGAAAACCATACACTGAGCCTTCCCCAACAATGATTCTCCTGACCTACAGAGAGGAATATTCCAAAGTGCACCACACATCAGTCTCTGTCAAGCACATAAATGCTACAGACCAGTGGTCACCAACCGGTAGTCCCTGAGGTCCAAAAGATTGGGAACCGCTGCTCTAAACTTCTATCAAAAGTACAAGTTCTGGAAAGAAGTGAAGCATCAGTGAAATTCACATTAGAGTCAGTAACAATACAGAAGGAAGTATTTTGTTCAGGATCATTCAAAGCATCCACAGGGGTTAATGTATACCTTCAATCTTTTTAGGTTTTTATTTTCACTACATCCAACTTCAAGTTTGCTAGGAACATAACCCCAAAATTCAATATTTCTAGGTACATAAAATGAACAAAAGCCCAGTGGCATATATGCTAAGAATTCTACATGAAACAAAACAGAGCAAAATTTCTCAATAACTTCTACATGGTCGTAATTTTTTAAAAATAACATTAATTTCTGGCTTATCTTCTAAAGTGCCGGACTAAATTGAACAATCTCTGTTTTGCTCTCTCCAACAGCAAAATAGGCATACTGATACCATCTGCACCTGGAACTTCACTTGGAAAGGGCTCAGAGACTCAGTAAGAGAAGCTGTGACGCATCTTTTCACACTGCCGGGTTTGGGCAGTAAGATATCCTGGAGACGAAGGCCTTAAATCATGGTAATGATAACAACAGTCAACACTTGTTAAATGATTACTGTCTTCTAAGTACTTCACACATTCCCAAAATAATCCCATGAGACAGATTTTACAAACAAAGATTTTGTAAATCTGTGGGGGAAATAGTTTTAGTAGATGAAATAAATGTATTACAGGTATGTTGTAAATTGACAGAAATGTAGAAACACTGTGCAAAACCCAAGTATACTTTCTGATACAGAAGATGTATGTTTAGAGTTCTACTTGTACAAATCAAAAGAATTTTCCTCTGAACTAGTCTCATCAGCTAACTGAGAACTTATTGAGTACTGGCTATTTGGCAAATATTGCTATAGATACATTATTTATTTATTTAAGGCAAGTAGCCCTGTGCATGAATCCCTGCGCGAGTAGCTTGCTGCCGCTTGCCTCAGCTGGCCACCTGCCCATCACAGGTAGCTTCCGCTGCTCCTAGCTCGCTGTCCCACCCTCCTAGAGCTGTCCACCCACTGCCCCGCCCTCCTGGAGCTGTCCACCCTCTTCTCTTCCCTCCTGGAGCTCCCTCCGGCCTCCCCCTCTTAGCTTGCTGCCCTGCCCCCTCCTGTAGCTCCCCCCCCCCCCCACCTGCTTGTAGTTCCCTGCCCCAAAGTCCCGCAGATCTGTGATCTGGTCTTTATGCAGTTGGTCCTTATGCCTCAGGGCATAATGGATAATTAGCATATTCCTCTCTTATTATATAGGATAGAGAGTGGAAGACAGGGGGAGAGACAGAGAAAGAAACACTGATATGAGAGAGACACGTTGATTGGTTGCCTCCTAGATATGCCCCGACCAGGGTCGAGTCTGCAACCGAGGTACATGCCCTTAACCAGAATCCAACACAGGACCCTTCAACCCATGGGTGGAAGCTCTATCCACTGAGCCAAACCGGATAGGGCTATACATACATTATTTATGTTATTTCATTTAATCTTGACTCTAAGTAACCATGGTTTCTGTGACCTCCTTCATATAACTACTGTTAACAGAAATGCCATCTCAAAGTAGCTTAGTAAAAGGTTCTGTTACAGCAATTATATGAAATAACTCACAGAATCATGGGTCACTGAAGAGACATAGGCTCAGAAACTAGTCCAAAGCACAGCAGGAGGTCAACAGGATACAGTCAAAGTCGCTTCCCAGGAGAACCACACTGAGATACTGTCCTGGCAACACTAAATCCACCTTGAGACACCAGGAGCAGAGGACAACATTTTCCCACTTTAGTTTAATATTTTTCAAATCTGTAAAAACACTGTCTTAAGCTGCAGAAATCATGATTCTTCATCTTTAGTCTAAAGTCTTCAGAAGCATCTTCTTATAAGAACACGGCCATAAGCGAACTGCTCCTGCAGCCTCTGGGTAACTCCCTCATGATCAGTCATGGGTGGGCATTTAATTAGCCAAACCTAAGTTACTGTCCCCAGCCACACTGCCAAGAGGCAGGTCCCTGTGACTTCTAGAGTGGTCTCAAGGCCCTGTCTCCTGTCAAGACTCATAATAGGAGATTCCACCTCACTCTCCATCTCTTTTCTCTCTCCTCCTTGCTCCCTCATCTCCTCTATTTTCAGCTCAAGAGGCAGCTAATAATGATTCTCACTCTGACTTCTCAAGTCATCTTGCTTTCTCTTCTTTGCAATTTCTTAATATTGGGTGCAGAGGCACAGTTCTAGCCTCTTTTCTTTGTTATCTATAACTTCTCCTTGATGTGTTCACCAGTCTTATGGGGGTTTTTTGTTTGTTTATAAAATATATATTTTATTGATTTTTTTTTACAGAGAGAGGGATAGAGAGTTAGAAACATCGATGAGAGAGAATCATCGATCAGTTGCCTCTTGCACAGCCTCTACTGGAGATGTGCCCGCAACCAAGGTACATGCCTTTGACCGGAATCGAACCCAGGATTTTTCAGTCCGAAGGCCGACGCTCTATCCACTAAGCCAAATCAGTTTCGGCCAGTCTTATGGTTTTAGTGCAACTAATATATATTGCTGATTCCAAGTTTATATCTCTAACCCAGACCATAGAACTCCAAACATCCATACCAACAGATAATGAGATACCTAATAGTCAACTTAGACTTAACATTCAAAACTGCCTAGCCATCCAGCATGGCCCAATGTCTGAGCATAAACCTATGAACCTGGAGCTCATGGTTTAATTTTATTCGGGGCACATATCCAGGTTGTGGGGGTTTTGCAGGAGGCAACTGACCAATGACTCTTTCATCACTGTCTCCCTCTCCCTTCCTCTCTGAAAATAAAACAAAAAACTGAACTTCTGATCTTACCACAAAATGTGCTCCGTCCACACAATATTCCACAGTTCTGCTGATGGCAATGTAATCCTTCCAGTTATTCAAACCAGAAATATTGAAGCCATTCTTTTTGGTTTTGTTTATTTGTTAATCCTCATGGAGAGGGGTGAGGGGAACATCAATGTTAGAGACTCATTGATTGGTTGCCTTCCTCATGAGAGGATGGAACTGCAACCTAGGTTATGTGCCCTGACCTGGAATTGAACCTGCAAACCTTCAGTAACTTGGCCAATGCTCTAACAACTGAACCACATTGGCCAGAGCTCTTGCAGCCATTCTTAGCTTTTCTCTTTCATACTCCATCAGAAAATCCCATTTAATCGGTCTTTAAGATATATCCAGTATCGTCTACTTTTCACCACATCCTCTAACACCACAATGCTGACCCATGTTAGAGGTTTACTAGTTAAATCATTTTCTCATTTAAACAGCATTCTCTCTCACCTCCTCACAGATGTCCTGTTTCAACCCTTGCACCCTACAGTTTATTCTCAACAGAGTAGCCCCAGTGATCAAAATAAAATAGGAATCAAGTAAGGTCAGTCCTCTGGTCAACCCTCCAGTCTTTGCAATGGCCTAAGAGGCTCCCCCATTTCCCTCTCTAACCTTTTTCCTCCTAGTGTTCTCCACACTTAATCTACTTCAGCCTCACTATTCCTTAAACATGTCAGACACATACTCATTTCAGGCATTTAAACTGGATTTTCTCACTAACTGAAATGCTTATCCTAAACATATCCATTTATCAAACAGATGGTACATTCAAACTGAGAAACTGAGGACAGTATAATAAAGGAACTATGTATGCAGATCTGGGCAGAGCTTAGAAAAACCAACAAGAAGGGGACTAGCAGTAACAGAAAGCCACTACTATCCTAAGCCTGGAGGCACATGGGAAAGAGCAAGCAGAGGAGGTATATTTACTAAGTTTCCTAAAAGGAGCTGTGACTCTTTGTGAAGGAACACAGCAAACCTATTGTGGTGACCTGGCTAAGAGGGCACTGAGAAATAAGCATGAACCAGAAACAGGCAGAAGTAAAAGTAGAAATTGACAAATCCAAAATCATTTGGGTTAATATATTAATACTAGAGGCCCAGTGCACGAATTTGTGAACCAGAGAGGTCCCTCAGCCTGGCCTGCAGGACAGGGCCAAACCGGGTCTCCGACATCCCCAGATTGCGAGAAGGTGCAGGCTAGGCTGGGGGACCCCACCTGTGCACAATCAGGGCCAGGGAGGGATGCAGGAAGTTGAACAGCTGGGGAGGGCTCTAGGGTGTGTCCAGCTGGTCTCCCTCAGTCCCGGTAAGCTGAATCCCAGCAGCAAGCTAACGTACCAGTCAGAATGTCTGACCCCTGGTGGTCAGTGCTTATTATAGCCACTGCTCAACAAGTCAACTGTCTGCCCCCTGGTGGTCAAAGCACATCATAGCGAGCGATTGAGCAGTCTTAGCATATCATTAGCATATTATACTTTGATTGAATGGATGACCGGACACTTAGCATATTAAGCTTTTATTATATAGGATATTTCTCTTAGTGCTGACAGAAGAGTGCAGCATGGGGAAAACAGAAGGATAGGGAAGTAAAGATAATCACTTCTTAACCTTTTGGGTAAGATTAAGAATAGAAGTAAGAATAGAGAGGATATGAAAACACTATTAGCCACTCAACCTAAATGACCTTTTATAGAACACTCTACTCACCAAGTTCAAAATACATATTCTCTTTAATTGTTCATGGAACAGTTACCAAAATAGATCATAGACTGGACCATAAAGCAAGAATTATTAAATTTCACCGAGGCCGGTTTGGCTCAGCGGTAGAGCATCGGCCTGCGGACTGAAAGGTCCCAAGTTCGATTCTGGTCAAGGGCATGTACATTGGTTGCGGGCACATCCCCGGTGGGGGGGGTGC